AGGCTTTTAGGAGGTGGCCAGCAATGGCAGCTTGCATATTACTTTCATAACATGTGCACTTTAAATAATGATATACATTTTGCTACTATATTAAAAATGACTTCACTGAATAGCAAAACACCAACCAGGAGTTGTACTAATAACCAAATAGCACAGTAAGAAAAACAAAATGCTAGAGACAGATATTCTAAAAACACAATTTTGCTGTGTATCTAGCGAGAAATCTAAACCCTGTTCCCTAAATAGCAAAATCCCTAGAGATCATGTACTCCATAGGTTTAAAAAACAAAACAAAACAAAAAAAACAGACTCTGCAGTAGGTACTAGAAGGTTGTGCGACCCCTAATAGCTAAAATAATTAAAAAAAAAAACAATATTAAACACATTTGACATGTGTGGCCATACATTTGCATGTGGTTTGTATGCATTTTACACCCTGCAGGTTTTAAGTTATTTCCTGTTCTGCAACCATAAATTAGAAGAAAAAAAAGGTAAGAAATATGCATTAAAAAAAAAAAAAAACACTTGCATGTGGGCTATGTTTTATTTGTTTTACAAGAGATTGCAATTCATTTCTACACAGCCTTAAAAATTCTGCATTTCTCAATTGGTGAGAAAGAGGCATAGTGAAAACAATGAATTTCTGATTGCCAACACACTTCACCTGTGTAAAATGCAGCAAAATGCATGCAATCTGGGGCAATGTGAATGAGACCTTCAATTTACAAATGCTTAGATGACAGAAATAACCACAACAAAAATCCTAAGGTCACCAACACTGCACAAGCACAGGTTGTTAAGTGTCAGTAAATTCCCCATTGTTCTCCAGGGTCACTGCACAGATAAAGCAATACATGAATATACAACTTTGCAACCAAGCTGAAATTTGCCCATCATGCTTGGCAGCTCCCAGGACATACAGAGGAAAGATGGTTGGACATGTTAATTACACTTTTTATACCAAATGTTGTTATATGGTTTTGTTGTACTAAAAAATCTAACTGCTAACTCATAAATCAAAAAATGAACTGCTACAAGACACAAATATATTCAAAGTGCATCAGCAATCTGTGGATGGGAGTTCTCCAAATGCATAAATGTGTCTATTTAACATATAGTGATGGGCAGCCATAAAAAAAAGTAAGTTGTTTTCTGAGTATTTAACACAGAGACCATGAAGGTGACCACTGGCTAGCCTCAAGAAGGGGTTCACCCCTACGTCGTTCCAACCTCAAAGCAGCAAAAACTCCATTCTACCATTTAGTACTCTTCCTACACTTAACACAGAATGGTTGTAATACGTTTGTATATATATTGCTATACCAAAACAATATGACCTAGCAAAAAATGGTCAGTACAAATACAACCATAGGAATGATGCTTACTGCATCAAGCTGTATGTACGAGTAATTTTGTGTGGTATAAGTAATAAAATGCATTGCATTTCCGTACAAAATACTCTTAAGAAAGACTGTTGCAGTTAGCCCCATGTTCTAGAAACTACCAAGGACATTCCTTCCTCTTTCTCCTTGTTGACCAATGATTAAAGAAGTCCCACCAGAAACAGTTTCTGTTCCCCCGGAGGACAAAGTCTATGTGGCACACTGTCCCATTTTAAAAGGAGAACTATGGGGTTTAGTCTTTTCCCCATAGTTCTCCTTAGGGTAACGGGAGGACACAAACTAGCGTCCTCTCGTCACCCTAGGCTCAGTATACCGCGAGCTGCAGCTCGCGGTATACTGAGACGCCGCAGTATACCGCGAGCAGCTGCTCGCTGTATACTGAGACGCCGCAGCTGAAGCGGATCCCGACAATTGTGCCGGGATCCGCCCAGCTGCGTGACTGACAGCTGGCTCTGCCTATCTAAAGGCAGAGCCACTTGTACCCGCCCCCTCCCCGTCCGTTCCGCCAGTCAGCGCTGGCGAATCAGAGCGGGGAGGGGGGAATCCAGCCCCTCCCCTGTCACGGCAGAGAGCTGTGACAGGATCGAGAGGTGAGCGAACGCCGGTATGCGTTCGCTCACCTCCCGATCTACTGAGCCGACCTGTGACAGTCTCATTGTCACAGGTCGGCTAGAACTATGAGGTGAGTGAAAAGCACTCACCTCATAGTTCTCCTTTAAGAAGTGGTGGGAATGCTGAGCTAGCATAGTCCACAGAGCCACCCACTACTGTTGGACCACGATGCTCAGAAGGAGATAAATATCTAATGAGGTCAGGTTGACAGCACTCATCTCTGGCAGCAGGCATGCAGTGGAAATAAGTGCTGTCATTTGCCCCAGTAGGGGAGAGGAGTCTGTCAATGTAAAGCTCCTGTGTATGTTTTGTTTACTAGAAAATCCTTGAACTAGTCTCCCAGCAGCAGCATCCCCTCCACATCAATGCCCCGCTCACACCAGCCTCTTACTTCGCTCTCTTGCTCATTACAGCATACCTACTCCTCCTGGATAAACAAGGGAACAGCACAGGAAAGGAACATCAGAGCTGGGGACAAGCTATCTGCACTGCCCAGTGTGAGGCCAGCCAGGGAGAAACAGTGGGAGAGTAGGGGTGAGATCTTTGCACTTTTACGTGTGAAGCCAGACAAAGAGCCACAGTGGGAGAGGGCATGGGAGAAAAAAGGGGGAAAAGAAAGAGGAAAATATTAAAAATAAGGTGAGGCGGTTGACTGCATGCTTGACTTCTCATCTACCAAGGCAGACAGCGGGGGGGGGGAGCCAGGTGAGGTTGTGTGCAGCCAGAGGGAGCAGACACAAATCTGCACTGTCTGCACAGAAAGTACTCTCTGCATTTATGTTTCGACTTATGTTATTGCAAGTGTTCAGAGGAAGATAGGGGTGGCTATAGTGCTGTAGCTCTCCAGAGGAACGTAAAGTAAAAAAAGTTAAGTTTAGAACAGTAACAAGTGCTGCATGCACCTAGTCCACTAGGGGGAGTCGGCAATGATTTTAAGTTGTAATTATACCTATTCTGTCAAATCATAGGTCAAATAAACCTAATAGGAAAAAAGAAAATAGCACTGCGCTTCAAACTCAAAAATATTCCTAAAATATGAGAAAAATAGTATGAAATGTGAAATTGTCACATGTTTGTCTATGTTTATTATGGTTTATAGTGTCTAGACCATTAGACCTAGAGCTTTTTCTTACTATCATCAGCACAGGTGTTGTGTATGACACAAAATTGTTTATCACTTTGTGGATTAATCACAAGCGTTACACATCCATTATATGGCCAAGTTTTTGCAAACACCTGAACATTAAAAGCTTGGTGGACATCACCGTACACAGTCATGAAGTTTATTTTGCTCCCTCAACCCTTCTAGCAAGGATTTCCAAAAGGTTTTGGACTTTGTCATTGTGTATTTCTGCCAAATCAGTATTTGTGAGGTCAGGTATTTATGTTAGAAGAGAAGACCTGTCTCTCAATCTGAATTTCAATTCTCCCAGGAGTGATAGGGACCTGTCTTTAGGCACCTGGCTTTGTGTACATGGGCAGAATCTTTCTGGAATAGAAAAGAGCTTTCTCTAAACTGTTGCCACAAGGTTGGAAGCACACAAATGTCTAAAATGTGTTAGTATGCTGTAATATTAACAATATCTTCACTGGAATTACCTGAAGTTCTATAATTTGGAGGGGTCTACATACCTTTGGCCATATAGTGCATATGCTATAATACAAACATCCACAGCATTAGCTCAGCACTTCAGGATCTGCCAAATATGGCACGGAGTTGGGTGGGGCAGCAACGTGTTGACTGTACTTAAGGGGAAGCTATAAAGGTTTTGGGTCAATTTAACGGTTTTAGCGTTTTTAAAGGTTTCTTTATTTAATTTATATATAAACTGTTTTATACTCTTTTTTTTTTTTAACGTACTGATTTACACAACCTTAGTTTTAATAATACACTATCTATACAGGGTGCACCTGTGACAAAAGGGGTTTCTGGAGGTCTTCTAGGGAGAGAGTACAGCAGAAGCAATTTCACTTTTGTTAAAAAATCTTACACATTCATATGAAGGGAGGGGGACTCACGGGTGCGAGCCCTTGTCCATTCACGTCAGTGTGTAGATTTCAAGGGAAACTATAATGGTTTTGCATCAAAATGTTGAAAACATTTATTAAACCTTTAGAGGTTTTAAAATGTTATTATATCTTCTAATATATACTTATAATATTTGCATCTCAAATAAATATGTTGTACATGGCAGATCACTAAGGGTTTTTTTTAAACAGAAAGCAAAGTGGTAGTCGAAGTCAACTTCTTTCAGGCAAGCTTTTCCTTACTAAAACTTTGGATAGAGAGTGCTATAGGTCACTACTTTAATGCATCCATTGGATGTGTAAGTTTGTTAAAGAACGGTTTTACAGTAGCTTTAGATTAAAAAAAGCTAGGAAGACCCAGAATAATGTCAAAAGAAGCTGAGTTTTCCACCTGCTGGCTATATAAAAATAATATGCAATATTTTATATAACCGGACTTAAAAAGAAAAAAAAATTGTATATATATTTTTAGACTTTACCATAAAAAAAAAAAACTATATACAAAATCACAATGTGTTCCCTTTAACATGCTTACACACTAATTAATATTTCACAGTCTTTTCCCTGTGGGCACTATCGGATGTTACTCTATTCGATCAGTCTTGGACTGCAGAACCGTAGAATATACAGAGATATATTTATTTCAGTACAAACAGAAATATATACAGTCACTTCCACTAAGTGAGTTGTGTTGTACTTGGTCACCAACAAAAAACTGTTGCCGATAGCTGTATTTTTTAAGTAGTCTTCTCATTGTAATCAAATGTATATCTGTGCAGCCTGAAAAATACTAAAACATGGATTCTGGGCACAATGAAAAAAAACAAACAAATAAATGTAACTAGCATTTTTATTTAACACATCAATCCAGAAAATGGACTGTAGACCTGCAATGTGAGATATATGTACCCATAGATGTTTGTTTTTTTGCGAGGGCATATAATTTCTTTTACTTACATCAACAGGAGCCAGCAGACTTTTGCCAAGATGCTGATTAAATGACAGGCACCAAGCTTCATTGTAACCATTCATGTTAGGAACATACTTCTTTATTGTCTCATCATTCAGTCTAAGCCACACACCATCATCATTGTGGATCTAAATGGGAAACAAGCAACAATAGCGAGCCATGCTCTCCTGTAACACAATTAATGCCAGCAAGGCCTACCTACAAGGCGATTTCTGAGGGACACTGATAGGTGTGAGGCTATACCAATACTGGTGACAGATGTGAATGTGAAGGAGTGTGGATAGTGAAAGGGTGTGGGAAAGGGGGACTGCTCAAGTGATTAAAAAAGGATAGAATAGAAAAAGGCAAGCAAAACTGTCAGTGTCCATCACCAATGGATAAAGCAGAAATTGTATACACGCTAAGAAATAAAAGAGAGAAGGAAAGCTACATCTGTAAAATAAAATGTAATTTACAAAAACAGAATAGGTTACGCTATGCAAGCAATCAAGTTATATATATTATACCCATATACATTTTTTGTAAGAGGCCAACAGAATATTTCTTCTATAATCTAATTAGAATGTAATATATTTCATGCTCTAACTTTAACATAGGAAGGGTGAATGGAAATCATCATCATATTATCCTTTATCATTACTGGTCTGATTGCAATACGCAGTGATCAATCAGAACTTCTTCAGTAGCTCAGAGAAGGAAAAACTTAGTTAATGCTGAATACAGTTTAAGTATATAGTAGTTACATCATTGCTCTTTTCCATGTTAAATAAAGGCCTTAGTACTGTCACTAAAACAGAACTGTAAATGTATGGTATTACACAGAAGCGATCTCTGTTGTGTACATTACAAAAATAGATATCAGTATAGGCCAACTCTGCCTTAACCATATTGTCTATGGAGTTATTACCTCGTCAACAAAAGCGATGGTTCCATTGACTTTCACTATGCCTATCTGCTCACTCTGAAGGGAAGGGTGGCTACGAATACGAAGCCCTGCACTGTCCTTGGCCACAAATTTGCGGACCTACAAAGTAAAGGTAGACAGAAGGGAAAGAAAACCTAAGCGAAAGAGCACAACACAAAAACAGAAGACAGCAAACGATCAAGATTCCACATATTTGGTGATTAAATTAAGAAAAAGTTACAGGTTGTTGCTAGTTTCCCAGAATAAAAGTCATAATTTTTTCAAGGAGAGAAACATGCACACAGATTCCAACTCCATTAAATAGGTTGCTTATAAATGGGGCACACATCTATCACTATTTATAACTAACAAGGCTTCCCATTTATTACAAAACAAGAAAAGCAAGCAAACAGTTAAAAAAATTAGGTTTTACCACAAGAGATACCGAACAATTTTCGTGTATGCATAGTTGCACACATCAGTGTCATCTTTAAGAAACACTTTATAACATTTCTGTTATATAAATACCCACACAGTTATAGAAATTCCAGCATTTTAAGACAAGGCAGAAGAGATATTATATTCAACACACTGCTAATGCTCTCAGTTGCTTTGTTCTTAAAGGGTTAAACAAAAATAAGCACATTTTGCAAATGAATTCATTTTTTCCAAATCCTTTAATAGGTAAGCCTCTGTATTAGGCAGAAGCCATAGCTGAAGTTCTAGTCTTTTGACGTTGACCAGATTCAAGCCAATAGGCTTCCTTTTGCCACCAAAAAAAGTGTGAGAATTTTTCACCTGGGGAAGGCCTTTGGACATATAACAAATACAATTTGCTATACAACAATATCTTTTTTACAATGATTACAAAATGCTTTACAATTTTAAAATGATCACAAATATATACACCACCTTATTCGGCTGTGGTTCCGCTTTTGGTTTTACCAACTGAGTTCCAGGTGGAATCATGCCTTTGGGTGGGTCCTTTACTTTAACTTCCAACCCAGCGTCTACATTAAAACAAATTTTACAAAGATGCAGTGAAGATTATTATTATAATACAGGATTTATATAGCGCCAACAGTTTGTGCAGCTCTTTACAATATAAGGAAGACATTACAATTACAATACAATTCAAGACATGATGGTAAAGAAGGCCCTGCCCGTGACAGCTTAAAATCTAAAAGGGAGGGGGAAGTGATACATGAGGAGGTAGCTGTGTGGGGATGAATTGTTTGAGAAAGTGATATTTCAGTGGTTAGTTTGAGGTGGGATAGGCTTCCCTGAAGAGATGAGTCTTTAGTGATTGCCTAAAGGCAGTCAGAGTAGGAGATAGACTGACAGGTTGGGGGGGGGTGAGGAGTTCTAAAGAGTGGGAGAGACTCTAAAGAAGTCCTGGAGGCGAGCATGGAAGGAGTTGACAAGGAAGCTAGAGAGCAGGAGGTCTTGGGAGGAGCGGAGAGGATGGTTAGGGTGATACTTCGAGACAAAGTTGGAAATGTAGCCTCGGGCAGAGTTGTGGATGGCTTTGTAAGTGGTTAATATTTAGAATTGTATCCTTTGGGCGATTGGAACCCAGTGCATGGATTGGCAGAGAGGGGTTGTGGACACTGAGTGGTTAGGTGAATGAGTCTAGCAGCAGCATTCAAAATAGACTGAAGGGGGGATAATGTGTAGAGACAAGCCAATGAGGAGGGAGATACAATAGTCAAGACGAGAGATAACGAGTGGATGAGCAGCTTTGTGGTTTCTTTGGTGAGGAAGGGGCATATTTTGGAGATGTTACAAAGGTGAAGATGGCAGGATTTGGATAGTGATTAGATGTCGGGCACAAAAGTAAGGTATGATTCAAGAATGACGCCTAGCACATTTGCATGGGGGGAGGGATAGATAGCTGTGTTACCAATCCTGATTGAAAAGTTGGGGGGAGGGTGCACGGAGGGGAAGGAATACCATGAGCTCAGTTTTTTAAAGATTGAGCTTTAAGAAGTGTTGTGACATCCAGACTGATGGGTCAGTTAGTAAAGTAGTGATACGCAAAGACACTGAGGGGGTGAGTTGTGGAGTAGAAAGATATATTTGAGTCATCAGCATAGAGATGGTATTGGAAGCCATGCGAGGTGATCCACTGACCAAGGGAAGTGGTGTAGATAGAGAAGAGCTGCAAGGACAGAGCCTTGGGGGACCCCAACAGAAAGGGGAAGAGGTAGATTTGTAGGCAACACTAAAGGAGCGCTTAGATAGGTAGGAGGAGAAACATGAGAGAGCAGAGTTTTGGAGGCCAAGCGAGTGAAATTGAGCAGTGGGTGGTCAACTGTGTCAAAAGAAGCAGAGAGGTCTAATAGCAAGAGTAAGGAGTAGTGGACATTGTTTTTTTGCTGTGAGCAAGTTGTTAGTGAGTTTTAGGAGGGTGGTTTCAGTGGAGTGTTGGGGGCGAAATGGCGACTCAGGCGGTTGTAGATTAGGCGTTCTAGGAGTTTGGAGATGAATGGGAGTAAGGAGATTGGTCTGAGCTTGTTAAGGTTGGTGGGGTCCAGTTAAAGTTTTTTTTAGGTATTAGGGTGACCAGTGCATGTTTCAGAGAGGAGGGAAAGATGCCAGTAGAGAGGGAAAGATTGAAAATGCAAGTAAGAGAGTTTAGGATAGAGCAAGAGTTTGGGTGACCAAAGTAGTGGTGAGGGAATAGGATCCAGGGGGCAAGTGGTGAGGTGGGTGTCAGAGAAAAGCTTTGTAACCTCCTCTGTGCTAACAGGGTGAAAAGAGGAACGTAGCAAGTGTAATGGTGGGTCTGGTACATTAATAGGGGAAGGTGACTGGATAGTGGGAATTTCATCCCGGATTGCATCTATTTTGTTTTTGAAATGAATGGCAATGTCCTGGGCAGTGAGTGAGTCAGTGGGCAGAGGCGGTGGGGGACCTAGAGAGTTAAAAGTAGAAAAGAGTTGACGAGGTCTGGATGAGAGTGTGTTAATGAGAGTGACAAAATAATCACCATACAACCCTTTTCTAGGAGATTATTGAAGACACAGGAATTCAGATACTGTGAGGTTATACTGCCATCTAGGATTTAGACACTGCCACCAAAAATTTGAGCGCTTCCCCAGGATAACCATTCCTTTACTGAGCACAAACTGCCAGTTTGTAACAAAACAAGAGCAGGATTAAATCCTGCTCGTAGTATTGCTTTGTTAAACGTGAGACATGTTGGGTAGAGGAAGGGTTATCCCAGGGAAAGTCCCTTTGAGTTAAAAGCACAATTTACTGCAAGAAAAGTTTTTTTGGTGATTACAAAAAAATCCCTTTTTCTTTATCATCCATTGAGGGACACATGAATTCAGATAACGTTAAGATATCCAAAAGCCATCCAACTGAAGGGTCACCAACTCGGCAACAATCACTAACAGGCCCAACAACAAATCTGGGGACAGTCTGCAAACCCAAGTATCCCCTGAAGAGCTGACACTCAAATCTACATTTAGATGAAACCAAGTACCCTACTAGATAGGGGTACCTGTCAAGAGGACCACATGAAAAGCATGGAGAACCAACTAAATGCTCAGGATAGAAGGTGTCACTACCAGAGAGAAATGACTGCAGACTGAAGGGCATACTAAACCTGAACCTGCGAGAAGCTGATCAACCAAAACCAAGGTGTTGAGTCTTCAAATTGCTTCCAACTTCTATTAAATAGGATTCATAAAAGCAAGAGCGTCTTCTAGGTGAATGGTTAGACCTTTATTAGTAAGAGACAGAGGTGGATCAACTACAGGAGGAGCTGACCATTTTTTCAACATATAAGCATAGTGTCTTCCACAAATGCAAAGATTGCAAGGAAAATTTTAATTTTGGGGGGGGGGGGGGGAGGTG